ATGCTAGGTTGCAATTTTGGGCGTGTCTCTATTTGGGGGACGCTTTGTTGGTCGTAGTCTTGATTCCCAGCCATCCGGTTCCTTAGCTTTTCCGGTGATTAGTTGGTGGCAAACTGTAAGCCGCTGAAAGTTGGAGACTTTTAGCAGGGCATCTGGGAAAAGCCCAGTTTTGGCAAGTGCTTGAGACGTTTGGCTTGAAAGATTCTTGCTTTTTGTGTTCAACCAGGATGTTTCTTTGACCACGTGTTTGGCTAGCAGCGGGAGTTTCACTATAACAGAACAGGGCAAAGCTTTGGATGTTTTAGTGTCAACCGATGTCTGATCTTAGAGCTGCGTGTTGAAGAGTTGGGGATGCCGCCGGGATGCCCGTTTGTCGACAGCAAGCACATGAGCAAACTAGAGGATTTCTAGCGCCGACTTGGAAGGAAGGTTCGACTTGAGCTTTCAATTTAGGCTTGTTCCGGCAATCTTTTCGGAGCAGAATTGCAAGTTTCACTAACTCAGAGGGTTTGCTTGGTCCCCCACATTTAAGGTTGGGGTTTGGTGAAAACGAGGATTCGTCAAACGAGCAAGCCTCACTTCCAGGCGCCTCGGGTTATTTGGCGGATAGTTGGGTTGCGAACCAGCCCAGCGGATCCATTTCCAAAGGCCCCTTGAGAACCAGAATAGGCCATGATTGGAGTGACCAAGCTGGCTCAAAAGAGCCAGGCTATATGACTTAGGCCGTCAAAACAAGACTTGCACGCCCACATCAGGTGTGGTATGTCACCACAAGTTGCACAGGCTGCATATTCAGCAAATGGTGACCATCTAGAAGGTACATGCAAACCGCTGATACGCGGACTTTGGAACCTTCACTATGGACCAAAAAAGGGACACCAAAAGGTTAGTTAGATCATCAGATCCGGTCGATTCGCTGGCAAGAGCTTGTGGCATCTCATATCCTAGTATCTCTATCTATCATCTGATTTGTTTGCTCACTTTGTTGTTCCAAATGTAAGCATACTAAGCTGCATGCCATTTTCGGATCTGATGGCTGATGCAGTGTCGCGATCTAGATCACGTTCTCGGACTCGCTCTTCGGTTGATGAACCTGAACCTCCATCGTGCTTCCGCTGGCTGGAACATGTTTGTGGCTCGATCCCATCGTATGATGCTGGCAGGCTGACAGACGTGCTGCCTCGAATTGTGCCTTTGCCTTTGTCTGAAAGCGCTTTCTTGATCTTTCTTGATGGTTTGTTGCTGGACGGGGGAAGTAGGATGTTCAGGTGCTGGGCACGGCTTGCTCATGCACTGGGCATCGCATTGATTCTGGGCTCGGTCAACTTTGAGGAGACAGTGTCGAGCGAGATGGTTGCAATATTAGCCCGTAAACCGGAGTGGCTATTTCACGCTGGAGGACCTTGGGGGAACACTTTACTTTGGAGGCGGCCCGAGAACATGGTCCCAGAAACTTGGACTTTGGCTTCAATGCGGCGAGCTGGGGTTCATCTGGCCAAACACATTGTCAGTGCCGACCCACCACCACTTCGAAGAAGGTGACGGTGGACGGCTGGGATGAGGCGACAATTGGGGAGAATGCGCATGGTCTTCAGGATCTTTTGATGTGCGCAGCGGCGCCCCCTCAGTTCGCGAACTTGAAAATACAAGTCGTGATGGCGGGCCGCCGGCCCCCTTGCAGTGACACGCCGAGAGGCACGCTTGAAAGAAGATTCATGAGATGGTCCAGCAGGAGAAGACCCTGGCAGATGTGACCAAGGCCCACAGGCGGGTCAAGGTCCTCAGGCAAGACTAGAAGTTCCAGGTGGCTAAAACTGGAGCAAGTGGTGGGTGAACAAGGTCGACACTACGGCAGGGCTAGTGCTGGGGAAGCTGATTTTCAGGACGGCCTCTTTGCTGGGGTGGACTGGCATTTTGTCTTCGATGCTGATGGCTGCCAACAAACACCTGCTGGTAGTGGGCCAGAAGCTGAAGCCCAACAGTTGCAATCTATCTGGGGTGGTTGTCATCTTTTGGATTTCCTGTCAACAAGAGTCCCCGTGCGTTTTCCCTTTCAAGCCGGGAGTTCCTTGGTGTCGGGCTCCGGAGAAGAATTGTGATATCTCCTTTTGTGGGAATCCAAAGGGGGAGACTAAAGTTTAACTTGTAGTGGTCAAGTGGAAAACCCCTTCAAGCATGGAGAGCGTGTGGGTGATGTAAGTCTCTTGCCGCGCTTCCAACTCCATCTCCGCACGGATGCGCGCCGGGTCACGCCAGTGGCCAGGCTGTTTGAAGAGGCAAAGGGGCCAGGAAACGGAGGACGTTGGGCAGCAGCCACTGGCCGCAGTACTCGTCGCCAAGGCGGGAGTAGAAGACGGAAGGCACAAGCACCTCCCAGCTCGCCGCAGAGGTGCTTCAGGCCATTGTGGAAGGCCATTCCCTCTCAGCCAAGGAAATTGAGACGGCTCTGGGCCGTATCCAGTGGGCCACGACGGTGGCCAAGTCCATGCTCCAAGCTTTGTGATGGCGACCACTTCCTCGCAGCGTGTTTTGGTCGGTGCTCTTCATCTGTCAGGGGCCTCTCTCTTCTCGGGTGAGGATCCGTGTGGGGGAGCGACAGCCAAGGGAGTGTCATGGTCATGCTCAACCTGGGCTTCTTGGAGGCCCTCCCTTCTTCTCCATAGACATGGCTGCGCTCTGGCAGCCAACCATGTCCCCGTGAGTTCAACAAGTGGGGCGACGAGTTGACCCACCCGACTTTGTCGGTTGCAGCGAGGAGCTTCGGGTAGCTAAGCCTTGCCCAGCTTCCGTGAGAGGCGGTGGGCCTCCTTCCGTTTCCTTTGGGAGCTAGTCAGCCTGGCACACCCACTCTAGAAAAGCTTATCTGGATGGGATGTCACACCCGCTCCACACCGGTTTTCCAACTTGACAGGGGGGAAGCCTCCGGCACAATGCTTGGACCGCTTTGTGTTTAGGCCTTTTTGGTTAGCTTGCTTACACAAGCTAAAGTGTTCAATCCTGGGGTTGGCCAGGAAATGGTCACTGATGTGTCTCATTCGCGGGTTGTTAGCATCTGTCGTTTTTAGTTGTGCCAAAGAGTCGGATGCGGGCTGGAAGTTTTTGTCCTAGGTTTCGCGGGCCGGGTTGCGGCAAGGTCCTCGGTCGGTCGGTCGGCTGCCTGCCCTTAGTGAACCCCAAGCAAGGCCTTGGTAAGCCGTATACCAACTCCAGACCAACCCGAAACCAACCCAGCGCTACACCATCTCTAAACCAGCCCCACACAAACCCCAAGCAAGACACGCCCTAAACGAGCACTAAACCAACTCTAAAATCATAAGCCAAAAAGCAGTTTGTTCTCGTGGCTTCGTAGGGTCCAGGCAGTCAGGGAGCCTTCTGGTACACGTGTTGGCAATGGAACCTACAAAATCCGACGTTGGAAGGTGTTTCTTTCTTGGCTTCGGCGGGCGTTTGTTTGTGCCCGCCCCTAGGTTCGTCAACATCCCCGCATCCCGGCATCGTTTCAGCCCGCCCGGCATCACCAGAAGCTGTGGTGTAGGTTAGCTTGGGGTTCTTACAGGGAAGGCGGAGGGTTGGTTTGGTGTAGCTGGGTTAAGGGTGGAATTAGGGTTGTTTTCGGGTTGGGGGTTTGGAGGGTGTTTGGGGTCGGTTTAGGGTGGGTGGTTTTTTTAGCTTGGGTCTAGGGTGGGTTGGGGTGGGTGTGTTGTGGGCTTAGGGTTGGTTTAGGCCTTGCTTGTCACCACGGTCCCCAAAACGGTTCCAAGCGGACTCCGATCGATACAGTGAAATGTTGTGCTATTTGTGCATGGAGCTTCCATGTTAGTCTGGGGGAGGGTAAGGGATTTCTTTGAACCCACTCCCCCCAGCCACGCCCGGCCCAGGTCGTCCGTGCCTTCCTCCCCAGCGCCGGGCCCTCCGGCGGAGGACCGCCCGCAGTCGGACCGCGGCCGGGGCCAAGCGTCGCGGCGAGCCGCGCGGCCGCCACCTGCGGCGCCTGCGGCGCCGGGGGCGCCGCGGCTGGCGCGGGGCTCAGGGGAGTTGATGGGGGTGAGGGGTGGGGGGGGGGGGGGTTGGGGATTGCGGGTTGGGGATTGGGACTCCAGACGTCGCGTGTTTATTTTCTTTGAAGCGCACTCATAGAGCTCACTTGAGCGCACAAATCACTGGGAGTATTGTTGAACGCTGCAACGGCTCTCTCAGACGCAACTTGCTTCCTTCAGAGCCCTCTGCAGGTCAAGGCTGGCTTAAATGATTGGAATGGGGTTGTGGTGTACTCAGAAGTCAAATTATGATCATAGGAGCAACATTTAGGTCCTCGGCCCTTTGCTTGTGCGACCGCCAACCCGTGACTTAGTGGTCAACCTCCCTTTTCGGGTTAACCTGATGTGATACTTCCATGTTGTTTTGGGTTCCGGGTCACGAGATGGCCTTCTCCCAAGCTGGCTTCACATGGTTTCTTCTCGATTTCCTTGCAGCGAAATCTCCGAGGCGCTAGAGCGCCTTGGAAAAGACTAAGCATGTCCTTTACCCAGTGAGGCCCTTTGGTTTCGTGCGCCCCTGTTCCTGTCAAGTAGACTGAGGACCACTGGATAGGTTCACCGCACGTGCTATAAGAAAGACAATCACGGTGTTGTTATGGGCATGTATGTTTTGAGGGTCGACTTTGGCTCGGTCCGTCGCCCTCCAACCGGATGTTTCGGCTGTCCTTGTTCTTTTTTGTTGCAGGGAGCCAGAATCAGGCAAACTGTAATTGGTGGTTTAGAGGGTTGATGGGAAACTACCCCCTAACCTCCAAACCACCAACCCAAACCAACTGGAGGGAAGCTGACCTGTCTTGGTTTCCCTTTAACGCCACCAAAAAAGGGGTAAAAGGGGTGCCAACTCAAAAAAAAGGACACGCCTACCTCACCCCGTTTCCGACCGCCGAGGGTCCAAACGCTCGCGTTGGCCCAAAACGGCGCGCTCCGTCCAAGGGCAGTACTCCGCCTTGGCGGGAGGCGTCTATGCCCTCGTGGATTGCCGTGGCCTCGACAACCCCCGGGGCCAATCGACAAAAGAGGCTTTCAAAAACGACACACCCAGACCCTAAGGTTGAATCCCCAGTGAAAGAATGGGCCAGGACTGAACTCAGATGATGAAACTCCTTCCGCAAATACTGGCAGACCCCATGGCTTTGGTGGTTTGAAGTCCAGGCAACATCTATGGTCCTTTCGTTTGAGGCGCAGATGCGCGCCGACGTGGAGGCCACGCGCCAGGAACTCCGAGGCAGGCAATTCAATGTCCCAGACCTCCAGAAAGTTCCGTTTCCCAGTGCTCCGTATTAAGATTAAACCCCGCATCTCAGTAGAACCCGTCCTATTAACAGAGGGGTGGGGGAAAACCCCCCAACAGTGATGAGTCTGTAGCGGCCACCCCCCTAATAGACTGGGGATGATTAATCTGGGGTTAACATTACCACTGTAGGTAACCAGGAGAGACCATCATGCAAAACCTAGAGGAAAGACACCCTGGTAACCTACTATGGCAACAGGAAGCACTGAGTCGCCTTTTCCATCGGTTTTTTTTTTGGGGGGGGGAGGGGGCCCTGCAGAATCAACAGAGCCCATTCTTTTTTCTCATGGACATCCAGGAGTCTGGGTTAAAGACCGATGCCTGGGGACCAGAAGAAAGAGGGCCAAATCATGTTTGTGGAGTTTTCTCATATGATTGAACTTGGTTTTTAAGCAGCCACAATCGTATTCTAATTGTACTGCAAGGGCAACCCCCAAAAGACTCAATGACGCGTACATCAAGGATATAGGTCCACAAGCCTTTCAGCTGTTTGATGTCAAATCTCTTTTTTTTTGTTGCCCCTGTGCAGGGTTCACACTTTGAAGCGCCAAACCGTGCACAGGGACGAAACAAGTTAAGATCTTGACATCAAGGACCCAAGCTCCAAAATATTCACAGGGACAGAAAAAGAACACAACAACAAGCACCACATAGGAATCAAGTGGACCTGACCCACAGTCTTCCTGTGTTTGTTTCTGCTTTCTGTCCCTGTGCATGTGCTGGAGCTTGTTGACGTCAACATCTTCAATTGTTTGGTTCCTGTGCAGGTTTAGCACTTCAACGCTCCAAAACCTACACAGCATAATAAAGCGAACTTTTGCATCAGAAAGAGCAATGAATTGTCCTTGTGCAGTTTGTAGCACTTCGAAGCTCCACAACACACACGAGGACAAACAACGATGATCTTTTCCACCTCGTGCATTCTTTTGACCCCTGTGCAGGTTTCAGCACTTTGAAGCTCCAACACGTGCACAGGGACAAACACACAGGAACATTTTGTAGGATCAAGTCTCCAACACACACAGGGACAACAAATCAAACACATCAACGAGAGGAATAAAGTGGACCTGGCCCAAAGTCATGTTTGGAGCTTTTTGATGTAAATATACTCATTATGTTTGTCCTTGTGCGTATTTTGGAGCTGCTAAGCAGCGGCATTTGGGCTCTCTGTTCTAATCGCCCAATATTCAAAAATATACGGACTCCGCTTCTGGTTTATGGTGTGTGTAACAGTGTAGTAGTTCATTTGTTCACCATGAAGGCAAAGTTGTGTCAGCAAAAAAACATAAGTATATTTACGGTATTTGATAAATAGGGTTCAGCAGCTCATGGACACCACACAAGTATGTATGGGAATGACAGCATCACTAGTAAAAGGCTGTCCCTGTAAATATACACAGTCTCTCTCTCTCTCTAATATATATATATATATATACACACGAAGCATGGAGGTTTCGTCCAAGCCCCGCCCGCTTCTTGACAGGTGAAGACGCGCAGCCAATCTCTCGAAGTCTCAGCGGGTGACTTGGGCAGCGCTCAGCGATCTTTCTTCTCGCCCGAAGGGGATAGACCTTGCACCGGGGAGGTTTCATGGTGCTCAGCAGGGAACGAAGGAATGACCCTTATAACTTATAACGCATCCAACTGGTGGTTTCCTTTAAGGGGACTGCTGGGTTCATTCCCATATTCCCTACTGAGCATCAGCAAGATATGTCTGCCTATGTAGCAACCAGCTCTGGGGGTAAAAGGAGATCGAAAGCCGTGTGGGTAATTTGGTTGGGGATCCATTTCTTGCGGAAGGCTTTGGAATTGTTGTACATATTGCGGATAGGTGTCCTTTTTTTGGAGACTTTTCTTTGGGATTCAGGGTTTGCCAGTCGTAGCCGGGATGTCTCCGTTTGTCTTGTCCCATTCGTGCGTGAATTTTCCAGAGGCCAATTCTTTTGTATAACCTCATGGCCACGCATCTGAGGTTGCATATCTGTCCTTTTTAGGCCAGTTTCGTTATTTGAGTTGTTTGATGGTGTTTTTGGGGGCATGTACTTCTATCATAGCATGTTTCATGCCGAAGCCCAACGCGGCTTTTGGCTCAAGCTTTTATCCCGGCGACTTCATCTTGCCATCGCGTCAAAACTGCTGCCAGCGGCGCTGTGCCGGCGCGTGGGAGGTTGTGCCCCACGCTCCGGACTACGGCGGCTGGGTGGTCTTGGTGGTGGGTCAGGATTCGGGGTTGGGGATTGCGCTATTGGTTTGCTTTGCTCACTGTGCGCTGCATTGTTTGCCTGCTTGGTTTGCTGCTTTGTGCTTGCTTTCGATTGTCTCTGCCCTTGCTGGGTTCATTCATCTTTTGGTTAAAGGCACCCTGTTTTGGTTCGTTTGTTGTGCCAGCCGAGGGCACCGCTTTGCCCTTGGGACTGGGGGACTTAAACAATCTCTTCTTGTTGGTGGGATTGGGCCTGTTTATTCTCTCCCGAAACTCTGTTTCAAACCCTTTCGCAGGTTATCAGCCGTAGGATTCGTCCTCGGTTGGCACCGCGAACCCCTTTTTAACAACCCTGCAGGCGCTGTAGGTTACTGTATATACGATGGCAGGAATCACTGAGGATGGACCTACATGTGGTGACTGATGAATGGGTTCTCGGCCAGGCCGGAATCTTGGACGTTGTGAATGACGACCAGGTGCCCGGACAGCCGATGTTTTCCGGTCCTGACCTTTTGTCGGACCATACTTTTTCAGAAGCAATGCCTTCAGGAAGGTCCAGTGCTACTCGCACTGATGACCTATCGTCTAATGCCTCAAGAGCTAATCGCTCTCAGGGTCATGGGGCTAATCGTCCTGACCATGATGATTCCGTCTCAGGACGTGATGATGACGAGCCCGGTATTGCACCTGGAGCTCAATCCTCATCTTTCCCGGAGCTGATGAATATTGGTCAGTCCGAGTTTCGTGATTCTCGAGGTAGCAGTAGACCTGTGCCAACCAGTAGCATAGCTTTTCAAGTGCTCGGTAATCCCGAACCTGGTACATCGAGTGGAGTTGCATTTGATGTTCATCTGCCGACCGAGTCCGGTGGGCTCGATTGGAGAGCCTCATGGCCCAACGACGGAAACATTTTTGGTATGGATTTTGCCGCATGGATGCCAGGGCCACCCGCCCCGTCATCTTTCCCGCAATTCCAAAGCCCAAAACGGGCTGCTGGAAGCGATGAATTCATGCTACCTTTGTCGATTGAGAATCTCAATCCTGACGTGGCCAGTCGTAACGTCAGGCCAAGGCCGTCGGTAAACCCGACCATGAGGAACATGTCCCCTCCCCCAGGACTTTCAGGATTTGAGAGCCCTAGGGAGCGTAATATCGTAGATAGATTGGATTTGCATCCCAGTCCAACCCCAAGCAAACGATCAAGGTCAAATTCGACTGGATCGCATAGGGCAAGGGGGATGGATCGGGAAACTGCCCACAGGGGTAACCCCAGTGCGCGGGACTCAGGACGCGGTCGATCAGGTGATCCAGCGTCGATCGTTGGTAGAGACCCGTTAAACGCGGACACACTCGTTAACGTGCTTGATGGGATCGAAGCATTCCAGGAGGAATTTAATAGGTCAAGTGGCTTGAATGCCCAAGGTGTTCGCCCTACGCCCAATGCGGCTTCCATTTTCGCTCTGGACGACATGGACGGAACTAATGTTCCGATAGAATCTGAGTCCATGATGGCATCAAGTTCCAGTCGCAATCATACTATCAGTAATGCGACTGATATTGAGTCGATGTCTGAATCTAGAGTGTCCAATGCGACCGACTTGAATGACATTGTTGTTGCTGACTCGAGACCTGATGTTCCTATGCGGATGGATAGGCCTGTTGTTCCTAAACTGCCCGTGGCCAAAGGCCTGGGCATGACACAACACTCTGCGGTTCGTGATGCTAGGAGATCTGCTCCGTATCAGAGTCAATCTCCTAATCGGAGTGAGTTTCCACGGCCATCAACGGCCGTGCAGGATGATTTCAGAACTCCTCCGAGATCTAATCCAATCATGGTTGATTTGTCCACTCCTCGAGATCGCGGATCAGGATTTGGTCCTACGAGTGAGGAGCAACCCAACGAGGTTGCTGATCTTGTAACAGCCCTTGAAAGAGGGAGAGTGGACTCTTCGGTAAGTGCGATTATTCATCGCCTGGTTGCTAAGGTCGAAGACCTTGGTCGTAGGAATGATAGAAGTGATCAATGCATCAAGCAGCTCTCCACTGAGGTTAGCTCGTGGAGGGCCAAATACGACCAATGCGTCCATATGAGTGGCACGTGTACGCAGGCTGCGAACGCGGCCATGCAGCTATCACAAGGGACTAAGGACATCGTGACCGAGCTTGGCCAACGCGTCAAGATCGTTGCCGATCGCATGATAAGCATAGGCGATGCCCTAAACGAGCGAGCCAGCTACGATGATGTTGCTCGCTCCATCACCCAGGTTCAAACTGTTTTTGAATCTCTCTCTGATCGAGTAACCGGGCTTATAGCTCGTGTTGATATGATCGAGAGATCTCTAGTGGAGAGCCAATCCAACCATCCTGCTATTGGTGGGGTAAACCTCAAAATCGAGGACCTGTCCACTAGGGTATGTCAGATTGATAGGATGATGCAAGATGTCGAACAACGCTGGACCAATAATAGGGACGGCATAAAGTGGGTTAAAGACCAACTTTATGAGACACAAGCCAACCTTGAGATGAAGTCAAGGGACTGCAAGTCCTACACGGACAAGCAAAATACTCATAACATGGCCGTTTCGACTACGCTCAACAGTAAGCTCGAGCAAATGCTCGAGGTGCTGGGTAATACGGCCCAGAGAATCAGCTCCATCGAGTCAAGGCACTCGAACCAGGCCTCAAGTAGTGGATTGAACGATCACACAGGAGGAAGGCGAGCCGCGTCCCGTACTCCGGATAAGCGGCCACCTCCACCTGGCCCTCCTGATGGTGATCCTCCACCACCTCCTCCTCCAGATTGGCAAAACCCAGGAGGAGGGGGGAAGAAGAGTGCTGCCGGTGGGAACCCCGGCAACCCTGGTAAACCCAGATGTAAATATGTAGGTGATGGATATAATCATCTAATGGCTGAGTTTCACTGCAAGGGATGCAGAGGTGATATTTGTGAGTATTGTTTCTCATTTAAAGAGAACCTGTGTGAAGAATGTTCCCGTAACGGACCCCGATGCGGAGTCTGTAGGGAAAGCTCGTTCCTGACCAAGGGAATTGAGTGTCAATTTTGTAAGACCTACTACTGCACCAGACATTCTGCTGGACAGGACGACTACAGGAGATTTGGATTTGTCCAGGGTCCCTGTTGTCTTGCGTGCCTTAGTAACGAGACTAGGAGAAGAAGGGATCCCGATGGTAACCGTGTCAGGAATAGGTCGCCTGGAGGCATACCTGAGACGAACCCGACGCGGTCGTTCTCGCCGCCTCTGCGGCCACCCGTTGACAGATTCCGTGACACCCCAACTGGGGGTCAGCCCGGTGCGGCTAACATTCAGAGTCCCCCGAAGGCTACGCACCCTGTGCCCCTGGATAAACGTGAAACCGGATATTATCCAGGATTTGATCCCAACGGTGCAAGGCCGAAGGATCCTTCAGGCCTTGAGCCGCCGACCATGCGTGGCCCCGATCCTCCTGACAAGAAATGTCGGATGTGTGATCGGGATATTCCTGATCCCAGTAGAATTGAGGAATGTAAGATATGCATGAACAGGGCATGTGAGATTTGTATTCCGAAGGCTACACGCCTTTGTCCTGTGTGTGCATTGTCAATCGGTAGTTCTCAGGTTCCACAGCATCTTTTCGGAACTGGTGGCGGCGGATACAGTAGCCACCATGATCCGAACTGTACAGCTGCGACTAAGTGCATTTCCATAGACCTCCCGCCAGAGCCCGACGCGGCTGGGCTGAGGGTATGGATAGCCAATATGAAGGAAGCTGTTAGCAATGCCTACAGCTATGATGGACTTTACGTCATCAATTGGCTAACTGAAGTCGAGAAGGCAAAGACCTTTGATGAACTGGATGGAGAATGTAAATACCACATCCTTGAAGCCAGGTTCAATGCAGCCATTCGGAAGTGCATCAAGACTGTTGCGATCATCGATAAGATTAATCGTCTCACCGAGGCCGCTCAACGCTCCAACAATCGCATCAAGAGTAGGCAGATCCTGTGGCTCTTATACGACCACTTGAGGACTGCGAACATTGGAGAGCAATCGTTCAGGATAATTGAGCTCTCAAACTTGCGATGCAGTGTTTCATCTTTCTATACTGAAGAGGAGCGACTTGAAAGGTTCATCGCGAAGTGGGATCACATCCTTGCGGGTCTCGATGAACCGCTGACCGAACAGGTGAAGCGGTCGCTATTCAGTGAGAAGGTTAGACACCTCAACTGTTTGGCTCATGATATCAGGGAATGGGATAGGAACATATCCAACCCTGATGTCTGCAGCTATGAATGGCTTCGTGCTCGTTGCAAGAACG